AAGACTGTGGGTTCCAATTCTGACTATGCTACATGCATGGAGTTGACTGAATTCTCTTTGTTTCAGTTTCTTTGTCAGTAACAAAGGAATATTAATAGGACTTCTCACACAGGTTGTCGTGAGATTAAACAAATTCAAATATATGAATAGTTATTTTTTAGAGGTTGTTTTCTGAGTGCAGTGAAATACCATTGCAGGATTTTAAGTGACATTATCTACTTTACCTTTTTATAAAAGATTGCCCAGCTACTGCTTTTGTTTGAGAAAGTCTTGATGGTAATTAAAAGGTTTCCAAGGCATTTTGAATGATGAGTAGCTTTTTGAGCTTGAGAGTAAGGGGTCCAACACATGTCCGTCTGAGAGAAAACTCAAAATCAGGTATAAATTTGCCCAAAAAAGATTACATGATAAAAGACTAGGAAGTGAAGAATGATTAGGGAATTAAATCAAGATGTCATAATTTTAATAATGGGAGATTTAAAAAACCGAATCATTGAGTCTTAGCATTTAATTGGTTAGTGTTTTAGACATGATAGACAAATGCAGAATTCCTAAACTAAGCTGGCCCACAGTGAGTTTTAAATGAGGCCATATATTTAAGGTTAAAATATAAATAATTGAGTAGACTAAGATTTTTTAAATAGGACAAAAAAGCAATGCCATTAAAGAAATAATGATAAATTGGACTTCATTTAGATTAAGAACTTAACCTTCATCAAAAGACAGCATTAAGAGAATGAAATATCACTGCACCCATATTAGAATGACTAAAGTTAAAAGCACCGACAATACCAACATGTGGGAAGATGTAGAGCAACTGAAACTCTCATACATTGCTGATGGGAATGTAAATTGGTACAACCAATATGCAAGACTGTTTGTAGCATCTTATTAATCTGAATATACATACACCCTATTGAGAAATTCTACACCAGAAATGAATACTGATCCATCAAAAGACATATACAAGAATATTCATGGTAATAACAGTGAAGTGGTTAAATAAGTTATGATACATGTATGTAACAGAATAATTCATAGCAATAAAAAACAACGATCTACATGCAACAACAGAATGAATTGCATAAACATAATGTTGAGCAAAGTAAGCCAGACAAAAAGTTCAAAAACAAAAATAGGCATAGATGGGGCTTACGTAAAAATGATACAAGCCATTTATGACAAACCCACAGCCAACATCATACTGA